TTTTAGTCTTATTTCTTAGAATTTCGCGATGACTGTCGCTCCTAAAAATTTTGAGCTAAGAAATCTGGAAACTAGACATTCGGCGCTTTAAAATGCTTTTTTTAAAACCTTGATACGATCATTTTTAACTGAGATACAGCATTCTGAAAAATCACTAAATATTCGAAAAATTTTTTTGCTCCCTTAATTTTTTGCGGAAGTGTATATACAAGGTGTTTTTAAATGAAGTAGCAAAAATAGTGCCAGTGAATGTAGAGCTAAAAATAAGAGGATTGAAGTAAAAATACCTTATATGAAAGGAGGGGATTGAAATTCACATTTTAATTTATTTCTTTAACATGGGGAAAACACGAAACTTGGTATAAACATCCTACTAATAAAGTGACAACTGTTCAATATTTGTTCGATCATTGACGTATTTTATAAAGGAGTGAAACAGTCAACCCCATTGCAATATTTTATTAGAAATTTTTTATATGAAGCAAATTATTTATTTAAAAATAATTATTCGGATTTTTACCTCTTGTAATTTTTCGACAATACCTATAGTTTTCTAGTAAAAAAATTAGATGCGTCATCGTTCACTAAAGAGGTAATTGCGAAATTTTGTAATTAATGAAAAATGTTTGATAACTTATGACTATGGGACATGTATTAGGTAAAGTTATGTATGTGAAATAAAATTTAATTCAATGAAAAACAAGAAATGCAAAATTAAATTTAAATAATATTCTCGAAATAATTTCCATTTTGCTGCAACCATAACCTAATATGTCTGTTGAAGTTATAACGCACTCGCACAAACAGTTCTTGGTTATTGCGAAGGTCATCTGTTGCTTGAAATATTCTTACGCGTAGCACTTCTAAGGAGGCAACAGGAGTGGCATAAGCAATACCTTTTATGTGTCCCTACAAAAAGAAATCCATAGGCGTTAGGTCAGGTGAACGTGCAGGCCAACAAACAGGGGCATCATGACCACGACCAATCCAACGATTCGGGTAATTTCAATTTAACCATTCTCTAACAGCAAGTGTACTATGTGCAGGCGCCCCATCGTGCATATACCACATCACCTGACGTGTAGCGGGGTGTACATCCTCAAGGAATGTTGGAAGATTTTCGTTCAAAAATCTAAGATACTCGGTCGCTCCAAGCCTGTGTGGAAGAATAAAATGACCTACTAGTGTATTTCCTACAATTCCCATCCAAACGTTTAAACTGAAATTATGTTGACATCTTGAAACAAATATTTCATGAGTATTTTCTTCCGACCATGAATGAACATTATGAAGGTTTACTGCACCTACTCTAGGGAAATTTGCTTCATCGGTGAATAGTATATTCATTAGAAAATTTAAGTCATACCTGGAAATATTAATGTACCATTGACAAAAATCCACGCGGTTAGATAAATCAGGGTCATTCAATTCATGCACGGGGTGATGGTGAAAAGGGTATAAAAGATTTTCATGAGCTACATTCCACACAAGACTGTGAGAAACTTGCAGTTGCCTGGATACCTGTCTTGTGCTTGTACCACAGTCTTGTTCTAGATGTTCCAGTATAGCTTCCTCAATTTCAACAGTTCGGACATTACGCCTTCTTCCGGCACCCCCACGATTGGGCTGAATTTTACTAGTTTCGCGAAGCCTTCTTTCCACCGAGGCCAATGTTTGTCTATGAGGAATCGGTGGGTTTGGATATCTTTGGTGGTATAATCTTACTGCAGTGTTACTATTTTTTCTGGATTCGGAAAACACTTGCATATCGACATATTCGTCATTGGTATAAATATTATTTGCCATAATTATTCTGATAATAAATTAATCAATTGGTACTAGTTATTGGTTGACAGAAAGTGTCAATTTATTAATATGATAAATAACAATTTATTTGCTATGACATCCGCCTACTTTATTTTTACAAATTTTCGCAATTACCCCTTTAGTGAACGATGACGCATCTAATTTTCTTAGTAGAAAACTATTAGTTTTATCGAAAAGTTACAAGAGGTAAAAAAGTTGCACAATAAATCAGCCTTCCCAATAAATATTTTTAAATAAATAATTTGCTTCATATAAAAAATTTCTAATAAAATATTGCAATGGGGTTGACTGTTTCAGTCCTTTATAAAATACGTCAATGATCGAAAAAATATTGAAAAGTTGTCTCTTTATTAGTAGGATGGTCATGACAAGTTTCGTGTCTCTAGCATTCTTCATGTTAAAGAAAAAAATTAAAATATGAATTTCAATCTCCTCCTTTAAGAGGGTATACCTTTAAGAGGGTATACCTTTAAGAGGGTATATCGCTTCAGGGGTGCAACTTTCATATAAGGTATATTTACTACAATCCTCTTATTTTTGGCTCTACATTCACTGGTACCATTTTTGCTACTTCATTTAAAAATACCCTGTAGAGTGGGAAGCTTAACTGAAACAAATTCTGTATCTTAATAAATAAAGGTTTGTCGCAAAATTCCTAAAACACGTCAATTTTTATTTCCAATGAGGCATATTACAAAGAAGTTTGTTTATTTTTTTAATTATGTGGGGGCTTGCAGCAACCCCCAACTTTTTCTATAACAGAAGGGTCGGTTGATAATTTTTTTTATTTTAAAGCTTCTTCAATTGCACATACAATTACGTATTTTTTACGTATGTTCTTCAAAAATTTAACACTCTTATCTTGAATGCTAAACCGTTTGGTATATGTTCATACGGACTTTTCTCCTTAAATTGATCCACTTAAAATATTTTACCTACTCAAGTAACACCCTATAAAAAATGATGGGACCAATCTCATCAAAGTAAAGTAAAGTAAAGTAAAGACCAATATATTTTTTTGATCTATTTGTACGGACGATTTCTGTACCGAAAAAAACACCATCAAATCCGCCACGGCGTTTCAGTAGCGTAGAATGGATGACGCGTGGTGTGAGTAGAAACCTAACCTAACAATAATAATCGAACACCCCCTCAACGGCCCCATTCGTCGCCGCCACTGCGATTTGCATGCCTAAACCGTCTTTGCGTGACTGTGTACAGTTGCGGAGAGGGGCGCGTCATGTCGCCCGACAGCAAGGACTGCATGGACAAGGACGAGTGTCTGGACTTGCCTTGCCTCAACGGCGGCACGTGCCAGAACCTGGAGCCGCGGCTGCGGTACCGCTGCATCTGCCCGGACGGATATTGGGGGGAGAACTGCGAGCTCATTCAGGAGGGGCAGACGCTCAAGCTCAGCATGGGGGCCTTGGCGGCCATCTTAGTCTGCCTGTTGATCATATTGAGTGAGCAGCCGGTCTTTGGTAGACTGTCCGTGTCTGTAGGTCCAACGAGTCCGAATATATATATTTTTTTTCTTTAAAAAGGGTCACTTTAAATACTGATATCACATGATGGATTACTTATTGTACTTATTGAAAGATACGGGTACTTCGTTTCGTCTCAGTAGGCTTAATTTTCGAAATATACAGCACACAATTTTAAAAGAATTTATCTATAAACAAATTTGACTGGTATTTGGTGGCGCATCCTTATTTTATGTAAATAAACTTCAAAACTATTTTTATTTTTTGAAAAAAATATAAATTTAAATGGCATAGTCTTTCCTAAGTCAGATGAACATATGTAAAGACGCCTAGCAATAAAATTTAATGAGCGTCCCTAAAAAAGTTTTCTGCTACAGGTAAAAAATAATAATTTGTACCTATAGAATGTGTAGAAAATTTCTATTAGCAACTGAAATTTATGGTCCAGTCGCCCAATGCGTCTGTGTTTGTGCGCTGTTTGCCCGCGCGCACTTTCTTCAACTGGGCGTATACATTTCTACTACCTTCACAGTTAGTTCGACCAGGCCTGTATATGGATATGGATAAATAAATATGGGAACAAGTTTTTCTAATATTTTCGATTCAATTTGGACCAATTTACTTATACAGAGTGTAACTTTAAATGGGAGTCAGTTTTTCAGGGGTTAGTTAAGTTGCACTTAAACTCTTGTCTACGCCGTTACTGGGCAAATCCCAAACTCAGTTGTATATATCGGCGTGCTACTTAAACCTAATATAAAAAATTACATGGTATTAAATTTGACGTCTGCACTGAATATCTTTATTGTTACTTAACATTTTGCAACACAATATTCACTGAAATACAAGGTGTTCTAGAATTTCTTTCCCTTCTTCTTTCTTTTTATACACAAAAATTAAAAAAATAGTTTATCCTAATTCTTCCTAAAAATCTTGCTAAAGGCACTACAACTTTTTAAAAATTGTCTTAATTGTGGATTTTATTTTATATCCTTAGAATGACCATATTCTTATTTTTATTAATAGAATCGTTCCTTGACCATTCTGTAATTTAGTATACTTAAGTCTAAAGATTTTCTTGTTTTACTCGAAATATATGGCAGATTTCAAATTTCATAGTCGAAAAATCTTTAAACTGTATTTGGTATTTGAAAATGCAATTTAATAATCATAAGGGAACATATAAAACAGTTACGGGTTATACAAATGCGTCCTAAAAAATAACGCCCTATATGCTATCTTCTTATATATCACTCAAATAAAGATGCATACCAACTAAGAAGTTTCTATCTCTACCCATTTTAAAATTATATGAAATAAAATACATATGTGGAATAAAATTTTAAATCTGTTAATTTTTTATGTGAAATTTTTCATGAACAATCTACAAAAATCATTGCGAGACACAGTAATTTTTTTTTTGTTTTTCTAATACAAACAATAAAAGGAATTCAAATAAACTCAGAAAATTTGCCTTAATTCATTTTGAGTTTGTTTTGGTACTCGTAGCCAACCTACTGGGCTTCCACAAGGCATTTTCCATTTTATTTTTGATTGGTGGTAATCGACCAATTCAGTGCTATGTATAATTCTCTTCCAACCATCAATGGGACTGATATGAAAATGAGGAGCATCTCCATCTTTTCTCCATAAAAGAAATTCAATAGCGTGTATAAATAGTCACAAAAAGGAATACCAGTCTAAAATAATTTTTTCAAGAAAACTCACTGCAGGTACCATTTTACATAGAACCAGGTTACACGCCACTGATTATACTGATGGAACTGAAGTTGTACCAGTTGAAAGACCTCTCTTGATTTATGAGTTGCTCCAAAGTTCGTTTATAGATTCACGAGATACAGCAAAAGATTTTCCCAAACTTTACCGTTTTTTATCTCGAAAAATAAGCCTCCAAAAACAATAGTTTACAGAGCAAGTACACCTATTTTCAATAAATAATCAATTCCTGTAATTTCAAAATTAAGTTCCATCACCCTGTATGTTTCAAAATGTTTAAAGTTATCTGAAAATTGTCAACACTACAAAATATCATTACTTTTACTACCGGTTACTCATTTTTTATAAAATATCCTATACAATTTGGAACTAATACAATATTACAAAAACATTTGGAGTATCCAATCATTTCAGCATCATATACCGGACTTTTTACGACTTACAGACGCGGTATAAACTATAGTAGATGTGCTTGCGATGCATGTGCATGTCATCCCGGTTGGATATCGACAGCCTTTTGTTTAATGTAAACAGAGATTATCGCCAATCGATTTCCCTTCTAGTTTTTACTGACGCGGAACAGAACAATCCAAAATGACAGAGACATTGTTTGAAGTTGTGATTACACTTTAACTGCTGGGAACAGCAAATGGTGAATTGACCGAGTGATACCCCATTTGAGAGATTTCAGTTCCCTATCAAACGCTTTGTTGCAATTATTCGATAACTGGCTTTTTTATTAAGGTCTTTTGTCGAACTAGGATTGAATAGTGTTCGGTACGTTTCATCGAGTATTTGTTCCTCCAGATCCTCTAATATTTTAATAACATCGTTAAAATATAAAAATTGAAGTTTATTAAAATACCCGAATTGCTTTGGTTTTACAAATTATGTGAAGACTTTAACCGTGTCTCTTGAATATTATACAGGGTATTTTTAGAACATGTTACCAAATTGTAACAGGAGATACGAGATATCGTTTTATGGAAAAAAATTCCTATGAATGTGACTCCAAAAATACTGATCAAATCCAAATGAAACTCTGTAGAAATCTTTAAATATGTTGGAAAATAATTCTTTTATTTAAAAAATTGTTCGATGTATATTAATAGACACAAAATAAATCGATTTTGATAATCCGAGAAAAAAAAACATTTTTAGGCACCTTAATCTTACATTCGAAAATCACAAGTATCGTGATTGTTGTTTTCAAACTTTTTCAAACAGCATTTTTTTATTACAAAAATTCTACAGTTGCCTTACTAACTCGCCAGTATCATTAAAAAAGTTCATTTCCAATATCGTTTCCTCGGTACCAATGACGCCGATTGGTAGTTTTACTTTATTTTGAAAGTATTAATTCAAATAAATTTAAAAAAAGTCCTAAAAATCATATCAAATGAAGTAAAAGAAAATTCTTTCATACCAAAAGTCTAACTACAGGGTGTATCTTAAGTGATGACTTTAATTTCAAGGGATGATTCCTTGTCATATTTTAAGCAAAAAAGTGCCTATGAACATCGGTCCGCAAGTGCTTCGTTACAGAGATACAGGGTGTCAAAGTTGGGAAAATAAATCGCATTTTCTTAAATATCTTTCGACTGATTCGAAATAATTTAATGAAATTTCATTCACGGGGTTTTTTTGGAATGACAAATTCAAAGCTGTGGTCAATTTAGGTGTATTTTTTTGAGGTCGCCACCGGCAACGATTTCGGCCTCTTTAATCCATCGCAACTTTTTTCTGCTACCCTGTATGCCATTTTGGACTAGAATAATCGATTCTCCTACCTTATCTGCTTAANATCACCCCTTGAAATTAAAGTCATCACTTAAGATACACCCTGTATAATTCAATGCTAGTCAGGACATTTAATTTCTCGCAGTATCTTCATTAAGAATCTTGTCTTATGAGGTTAGATGGATACAAGTTTTGTGTATGTAGATTTTTAGTGTAAGAGAATTTTGTTTTATTTTATTTGATACGATTTGAATTAGCTTATGCATTTAAAATTAAGTAAAAGTAAAAGAGCTAATAATAAAATATATATTTTTAAAAATACCAATAATAGTTTAAAATATTTAATAATATATCGGTTTAATCATCACACTCAAATAATACTTTCAAAAGATAGTATAGTTCTACATATGTTCATGAGAAATTGTTAATTTCTTACGAAAATTTACACGATCAAATATGTTTACCCAGTGCTGTAAAATGCCTCGTTATTACACACCGTATGTCTTTTATTACGCAAGAATGACACTCTTGTATCTTAAATAAGTTGCCATTTTAAGATGTTTAAAAAATATATATTATTTTACCACACACCACCACAGACAATTATTGTGTTTGGAAAGAAATGATCTGATTATGCCATATGTATATCTTCACAGGGATTGAGTGTTATTAATTCTGATCAGTCATTTCGGAGTCACTTCAAAAAATATTCTTTTCAGTTATTTCAGTTTAATAACATGTTTTGGAATCGCCCTCTATAACAATATATCGTCAAATTTGGACACGGAATATTCCCTTTCATCTTTAACCAATATTTCATTGTCTTACACCGTGTATTTCATTTAATACAGGGTGTATATAATTGAAAGCGCAAATGATGCATTGATAATGTTGAACCCAAAGGATGATAATTGGATCATATACTAGTACAGTCAGTCTCAAGTTGCTTCATTCGCATTACAGGGTAATTAATTTTTTTGAAAAACATAAATACGCAAATATTCCGAAAAATTTCTGACGTAAATAAAGGAACTTAAAAGTGAAGAGTTTTACTGAATTTGTATGCAATTACCTATATCCACCAGTGGCGGAAATACTGGGTTGCTGAATATTATATAAATTCGACAAGTTTATTCGATTTCTAATTGTGTTTCAAAGCAAAAATAACCCCATTTGATCAATAAAACGAGTAATTTTCGAGTTATTATTTTTTAGTTTAAAAAAAGCTTGCCACATATCTGAATAAAAAAATAATGCCAAAATTGTTCAGTCACAAAGAAACGTTTATGGAATTTTGTTCAAATATATAATTTTAGTACAATATTGAGGGTTGCTTTCGCTGTACAGCAAAAATAAAACGCTCTCTCAACGGTACAAATAAAGTATTTTTATTGAAAACGTTTGTGGAAAAAGACGTATTGTCGGTTCGAGCGTTTGCTGGGGAGTCCCTCTTGGCGTGGAGTCGCTCGCAGAAGCACCTGGTCCTTAGCGCCAATCTGCCG